CCCCCCCTTCTTCTCCTCCCCTAGGTCCGTGCCTTCCACCACGCCTTCAGCACCAACGACTGCTCGCGGAACGTCTACATCAAGAAGAATGGCTTCACGCTGCACCGCAATCCCATCGCCCAGAGCACGGACGGGGCGCGGACCAAGATTGGCTTCAGTGAGGGTCGCCATGCCTGGGAGGTGTGGTGGGAGGGCCCCCTGGGCACTGTCGCTGTCATCGGTATTGCCACGAAGCGGGCAGCCATGCAGTGCCAGGGTTACGTGGCCCTGCTGGGGAGTGACGACCAGAGTTGGGGCTGGAACCTGGTGGACAATAACTTGCTGCATAATGGGGAGGTGAATGGCAGTTTCCCCCAGTGCAATAACGCGCCCAAATACCAGGTGAGTGGGGCTTGGTGTGGGCTGGAAGCTCCACTGTGTCTGATGGCAGTTGGCCGTCAAGAACCTCTTCTCTCACGTGTCCTGGCTGTCTGCTAAAGTGATCCTAAATGCCCACTTTCTCTTTGCCTTCCCTGCAGAAGGCAAATGATTCTGTGTTGTGAGCCTTTTCCCCCTTCATTTACTGCTTCCTCAGGCTACAGCCCTGTGTGGTGTTCAGTGCACCTGACCCCCAGTTGTGTTCCCAATTCTATTTCAAATATTGAGCGCAAGGCATATGCCATGGGTGTCTGTTTAGACACCGTGTCACTTTTTTTGATATAAAAGCTGAAAAGGCTGTTGTAGCCTTCTGAAGTAACGACTCCCCCACAACAAGGTGAATGTCTGTGGTGTTTTACCCTCCTGTTGTACGGCAGTGTGAGCTGAGGTTAGTGATTAGGCAAGAGTCTTCCTGCAAGAACCCGCAGCGGTGCTGAGTGCTGCTTGTTTGCTCGCTGGCAGTGTTCCCGTAGGTGACATCCCTTGGCTGGGATGCTGGGATGTGATGTTCAGATAATCTGAGGTTATTAAAGAAGCGAGTGCCATTCCACCTTTTGTCCCTGTAGAAGCGTTTATCTTTGTTCTTCTGGCTGCTCACACAACTACATTTTAACTGCTGGATTTCCTCGCGTTGCAACTTAAGCTGTGTGCATTATAACTTCCATCTTGTAATGCTTTGTATGAGCATTGCAGTTGTGGGTGAAGAACTGTGTGGTAACTTGTGTCTGATGTTCCTAAATTTCATGTGAAAGTTCACTGCCAAGCACTTAATTCTGCCTGAAGGTTATACCTGCTGTTGGTGGAAATAATACCTAAAATTAGTATAATTAAAGAGATTTACATCTCTTTCCATTTGCTTGTTCCCTAGCATGCAAATTGGGTCGGCACTTTCCAGACCCGACCCTTTGTTGGTTGCTTTCTGCTGTCCTTGTCTAGGCTTTTCTGCAGCAACAGGGTGCTGCACCAAAACTTCTGGGTTTGAAGCCGAGAGTCTCCAGCTCACATGGGGGCTCAAGGGTGAGCGCAGTTGCTGCTTGCTCTCTAAAAACTGGTGGGAGCTCAAATCGGTGATCCTTTGGAGTATTTTGTTTATAGTAAGGCAAGTACAGTGATCTGCTCACAGAAAATACACTGTGTTTGTTAGTGCTGGTGAGAAGAAAAACCTGTTGGCTAGAAGAAATCCCCAGGATTTGGACTGGCGGGTGAAGAATCAGAAGTTTGTGTGGCGTCCTGCAGTGCATGCTGCTGGTGTCTGGGACTTCTATTTATGTCTAAAATCATGTGGACTAGATAAATGCAGGGAGAACTGTGCATGCCCAGATCTGAGTCTCTTGCTGTGTTTAGTGTTGGTTTCACTTGTGTGTGTGTGTTTGTGTATATGTAAGGCATTTCATGCTTATTTTGCCTAAGCTTTGCACTGGAATTTCCTTCTGTGGTGGTGAGGGAATACCTCTGTCAGCAACAGCACCTGCATAGTCAGCAGTGTATTCCCGTGTATTTTTATGTGGCGCTTACCTTTCTAAAACACGTTTGTTGTCTTTAAAATTGCTCTTCACAGAGCAATTGCTGCTCAGCGATGGCAACAGCTAAATAAGGAGTTCAGGTAACCTGGAGGCCATTAAAAGTTTCCGAAACTGCAATATTCTGATGTACGTGGCATGTAGTATGCTCGCTCTTGGTGCTCTCGCAGGGTTCATATGAGAAGGGTTACGTTTATTATGGTGTAGGTGGTTAGGTACAGGCTGCCCACTGGGAACAGGCAGCAGAGGTACGTGGGATCCTTGTGCATTTGAGCAAAATTGAGAAATCCCTGTCATAAAATTAATGCAGTCACAAGAAACAGGAAAGCCTTGCATTAAAATTATCTGCTGTGTTCTACACGGGTTGCATTTTATTTTTGTGTCTCTGTTTGAACATGCTGTAATGTTTTCTCTGTAATTTTTTTAATTCCCCCTTCCTGTCTCTGTTTCCAGATAGGCGAAAGGATTCGAGTTATCCTGGACATGGAAGACAAAACATTAGCGTTTGAGAGGGGCTATGAGTTCTTGGGAGTTGCCTTCAGAGGACTGCCAAAAGTTTGCCTGTATCCAGCAGTGTCTGCTGTGTACGGTAACACAGAAGTGACTTTGGTCTACCTGGGAAAACCTCTGGATGGATGACATGGATTGTTTTGTTGGGACATCGAGATGTGGATGATTGGGAGAAGAAATCTGCATGTTGGTTAGAGGGAAACGTGTATTAGAGGAAAAACAAAAAAGTGTGGGTGCGTGTCCAAGAACCATCAAGGGAATCACACGGAGTTTTGAAACGGAGGACCAGCCATACTTCAGGAATTGTGTTACATTTCCTCTTTCTACCAGGCCAGAAAAATCCTCAGGGTTGCAGTTGGTTGAGTGGGAAGCTGACACATGCATGTTGCAACAGATTTCATTGCTAAGATGGCACCGTGTGACCTCAAATAATTTAAGAAAGGATTTGATAGAAAACTGCTTGAGGAAATTAACCCGAGATTTGTAAGTAGCGTGTTTTGTGAAAGACTCCCATTTTAAAACTGCTTGTTCCTTCCCTTCCCTCCTTTGGGCCAAAGTGGGTACCGGAGGAGAGCGAATCTGGTTGGGTTTTATTTACAATTTTTAACGTACTGAGAAGCATGGTCTTGTCTGGACTGCCCTTCTCTAGTATAACGATATGAAATGTGTGCAGCTATTTTTAAGTGTATTTTAAGGGTTGTATATATAGAACAGGTTGAAAAGATCAGTTAAAAGGAAGGGTTTGCTTTATTCTAACTGGGACATAATTTCTTAAAGGGAAAAAAAACCCCACTACGTGGCATCAGAAAATATACCTCAGACAGGTATATAACATTCATGTAAGTGTACTTCTTCTGTTGTATTGTAAAGCAGTTTGGGATGCTCTTGTGGAGTACGGTGCTACATTGGGTCATTTTCTGTGAAAGTTTCCATAGCTTTAGCAACAGTTTTGTTCTCTGTAGGAAAGGCAAAACGTTTTCCCCGCACGTTTCCTTTGGCCAAAATTTCCCGACCCCTTTAGGAAAGGAAGGCACAACACAGCGGTGAACTTGTCTTTGGACATCAAAAAGATTAACTTGTAAAGCATTCTTACACTTTCTAATCAGTGTTGCGAAATGTTTCAAAATAATGAGGAAGGAGCATTCAGTTTCTGAATCCAGACCTTGTTTTCAGCTTAAATGGCTTTATAAGGCTTTAAGACTTGGCTGAACCTTTCTGTAATTAAATAAAATCCCTCAGTACCGGAGTATTCACCTGCCTGTTTTTAGTCAGTAAATCTCTCACCAACCCTTTGATGGGGATTCTGGATCAGACTCAATGTTTGGGCTTTTCACTTGCACCGGTTTTCTAAAAAACACATACAATCCCCCCCATGGTGTGTCGGTGTGCTGGCGTACGCAGGGCAAAGCTGAGAGGCGTAGAAAGGAGGGACGTTCTGGTGAAACCGCTTTCCTCTGAGGTGGAAAGGTCTGTCAGGAGCCCCGGAAGGGCTCCTTTTACTGGGGCATTCACATCCATAAGCCCTGTGGCTAGCTCTTGACTCTGGTGTTTTTTTTGTTGGTTGGTGTTTCCCAGAGCTGTCAAAACTTATTTCGGAGTTGGGCGTGCTTTTCAGAGAGGGAGAAGGAAATTTTTGTACAACCTCTTTTTGCTTTATTTGTGCTAGAGAATATGAATTGCTTAATATTGGACACAGGCAATTCTTTGAGCGTGGAAGAAAGAGGAATTCCTGTTAGGCTGTTGCTTGTTTCCCCCCCTCCAGTTACTCGAGTAATGTGAGGGGAGTGGTGCAAGCAGGTGAGTGAGGCCGTGGAAGAGCTATCCGTGGAGTGCTTTTTACCTAGTAGATAACCAAGTTCTGCACTGGAACAGAGTATGTGCGTTATTACCGTTTAAAAGGATTTTAAAGTATTTATTTGTTTTGTGTGTTGTTTATTGCTTAAAGGCGATATCGAGGTCTGTTCGTCTTGGCTGCGTTAAAGAAACAAAATACACAGTGAGAAATGAAGATGTTTTACGTGGTGCTGAGAACAACCGAATAAATGAAGTGGGATGGGCATACGAGTACCTTTTGGAAAAATCTGTTACACGCGTTGATTGTACTAGACTGTAAAGTATGTATCTGCATAGCAGAACCGTGGGGCATGAAATGGGGGAAAAGGAAACAAAACCCTGTCCAACTTCAGAAAATAAACTTGTCCCCCAGGTGAATGTATTCTCAGTGCAGTCCTGAAAAACGCGACCTCTGCACTTGTTTGTGAATCCAATTAGATGCAAGTAAACCCTGAGAACTTCCAAGGAGTTTTGGTCACAAATTAAGATTGATTTCCATTCTTCAGACTGCGTCTTACCCAATAAATAATTTCCCTCTCAATTAGAAACGCTGAAAGTTGAACATTCCTTAAGGGTGGGTTTGGGGGGGGCTCACTTATGTAAGATTATAACTTATTCCTGGAGACCAATGCTGGCTGTACAAAATATGAAAATAAACTGTGCTATAATTCCGAAGGATATATCGGTGTGGATTGCTGTAACGACATCTGTGGTGCAACGAGAGCAAAAGTGGCATAGCAGTTGGGTGCACAAAGAAGATGGAGGTGTTGGGAGTGTGTGATTTGCTGCGTGACTGCTTGAAAAGGGAGAAGCCGATGAGCGCTTAACGAGGGCTTGAAAACTCAGTGGTCTGATAGCCATGCTTGGGAAACTGCATCCTCTGAAAGAGGGGTGCTCGCCCCTGACGGTGTGGGAGAGGCTTCCCCACCGCCGGAGCTCTCGTGATTGGAATCGAGGTGGTGTGCTCATTGCAGTTCGGTATTTCGTGGTGCTTTTAGGAAGAAGTAGGAGACCGTGGTGTGGTTGTGAGCTCTGAAGCGCTTTCCAAACTCTCTGCGTCAAGAATTTGCTTTCAAGCGGTGAACTTCAGGCTAACATCTCTGTGAGCCTCTTCGGGAGCAAAGAGATTTGATGCTGGCTTGCCAAAAATGTAGAATCCCTTTTTCTAGCCTGAGGTACTTCAGAGTGGGCTGAAAAGCTGTTTGAAGTATATTCTGTATCCTGACTAGTGATTTAACTGCTTTGGTCAGGAGGAGCATCAACTGTTCACAGCTCCCATAATGGAAATCGGTCAGATTCATGGGGTTTGGCTTCAGAATCCTGTAGGATATCCATTATTTTTCAATGAGTGAGTGGTTTGTCTATCATTTGAATAAAACTCAAAATTTTGTGTGGTTGTAAGCGTGCTGCGAAATCTGTTGGGACCTCAACAGTTGGTCATCTAATCTGGTTGCACTCCCATGTCCGAGCAAGCGAAGTGTTCGATATGGCTGTTTGTTTTGGGGCAGAGTCTGTCCTTGGCTTCGGTGGTGGCTCGTCGTGTTGGCCTGAAGTCATTCGCATGACTTCTTTTTCTGTGAGAGGACTGAGATGATGCTGAAATGAACCAATAAATCAAGACAGCGTGGGAAACTCATCCTGGTAGGGATATTTTCTTGAACGTGGGTTTGTTGGTTTTTTCCCTCCTCTTAAAATGCAGTGGTGAGCCTGCATTTTTGGGTGTCCTGTGTGTGCCTTCTACTGGCAAACGCCATTTGGTTTTGTTACTTTTGGCTGTGTTGCAGGTGACAGAACTAGCCAGGAGCAGAGGGCCTTGATCCTGTGGGCTGAACTTCTGCTGCCTCGTGTGTAGCTGGATTCTTCTCTGCCTGCCGCCAGCTCCGGTAGCCAGCTGGAACTTATTAGCTTTTCTCTCCATTTACCGGTGATCTGTATTTTTAAATTTCCTCAACATGCGAGTACGTTTTCCAGATGGCTGCCTCTGTTGTTTTTTGTTTTTTTTTTCCCTTCTTCCATTTTCAGTGGGATGATGACAGCAGCGATGAATTAAAATAATGCTTGGCCTGTTTCTGGTTTGACCATACAGAAATTATTTTCTTGAAGTATTTGAGAAGTAACCAGCCCCCAGTGATTCCTGAACCCTTGTATTTCAATACCAATATTTCAGTTGTAGCTAAATCTTCCCGTGTTATAAATAGCTCTGGACGCTGGCAGAAATGCAGCTGTAAGTGCTCTATGTGCTGCCGTTTGCCGGAACAGTGCCGGTTCTGGCATGCTGCAGATAATTTGGTGAAATCTGTAGCCAGAAAATGGCGTTTGAAAGCTGTTTTAGGATCCTTTTTACATTTAAAAAAAAAAAAAAAAGTTTTAAAACAGTTAGGAGTGTGGCATGTTTGATTTCTGTAAGTGATGGTAGTCCACCTCGCACTAAGGTATAATTCAGTTGAAAGGAAAATTAATTAAGAGGTGAATGGCTACAGAAAGCTTTTCCTGCAGTGATGCTGAACCTGCTAATTTATACTTCAAACAGCTTTTTTCATACTGCTGTGTGCTGCTGTACATGTCGTGTGACTTCCGAATGAATTCTCACACCTCCCCACAAGAGGGCAAAGTTAACAGCGCTGTGTGAGCCCAGACTTTGAATCTCTGAACTGTTGGGCAAAACAGATGTTTAACGTGGAAACTTCTCTGTTAGCATTTGCTCCCTCTCCTCTTAAAAAAACAAAGCAAACTGAAAAAAACTCAGCGAAACAGATGATTGTGGAGAAGTGGATAACAGACATAGAATTTTTTTAAATACACTTCTTCATTTGAACCCTTGATCCTGAAAGCAAATCTTTGCAGCTCAGAAAATTCTTTTCAGTGACAGCGAACTGAGCTGAGACTCTGAGATCCCCTTTAAAAGACAGAAGGGGATTTGAGAGGCTCAAAGAAAATGTCACTGCTGCCATTGAATGGGAGGACGTATCTGTAGTCAGTCACTCCTTAGTCTGTTTTTTCCCAGACTTGCTTTTCTTCCTCTCAGGCATTTATGACCAGGAAATAGTGATATTGTCAAAAGATTATTGGCCAAAAAAATCAAAATTCCATTGCAGTTGAAAAAAACCCAACCAAAATCCTCGAAAAGGGATTTTAGAATAAAACTCGTTGTATATTACAAGTGTTGTTTATTCTTCTGCAATTTTACCAGCTCGGGAACCAAGGGTGTCTTTTTCCTTCCATGCCTGCACTTGCAGATTTGTCGTGAGCTAGCTGGAGTTGTTTCATGTTCGCTTGATTTATTTTGTCTTTTTAATCCATATTGTTCTAGCTACGTTAAAAGCTGTATATTTACCTGCAGGCAATGTTTGATTGGGGAAAAGTACGAAGGTATAACCTTGTCCGTTCTTCTCTTTTGTGTAGTGTCTGATCTTCTTGGGAGCTCCCAGTTTCTGCAGCTTAAACCTTTGGTAATTTTATCCAGAAGTAGCAGGAGCGTTACCACGCGTGTGAGTGAGTGACCATCCTGGGACACGTCACCTTGGTGGATCTACAGTGTTTTACTGCTCAGGGTGGGTGCCGTGTCCCTGGAGAGGACATAATGTCCCTGGAGAGGACATCAATAACAGGAAGCGCAGACCTATTTTCAACCCAAGTAGGTGAGCCTGTGCTGTGTGTATGACCCCTCCGTAGCTCGATAACGCATTAAATCTGAGAGTGAGCGGGATATGGACTGTTCGTCACCCGCGAAACCTCCACGGTACCCGATTACACGCAACGAACAGCT